GTCCAACGCCGCTTCTGTGTAATGCTCCGCTGACTTGACAATTTTCATAGCAACAAAACGCGTCTGGACCGTATCCCAGCAAAGCCAAACGGTGGAGAAGTGGCCCCAGCCCATCTTGCGAATTACGTGGTAGCTAAAACAATATACGTACGAAAAGAGAAAATGGCCTCGAAAACTGAAAAATCTCTGTTTGCCATCAGGCTAGCAGCAAGAAAAACGGTGTCAAACTCAGGATGCAATGGCATCCACCAGGTGAAATTACTCAAATCCCTCATCACATTCATGTTCAGCAAAAACCGGAGGCATTCAAAAACGTCTTCTGTTAGCTAGTGCGACTCAGAAAAACTCAGTAATCGAATACTTTGCTGTCCCCCTCTGAAAGCCTTAACAGTATTAAATTCTAGTACATCTCCTCCTCCTCCTTCTTTGAAGATGCTGATGGCGATGACTAAAAATAGAGAGTTGGGCATTTGTAAAATGAGGAAAGATATATGGACCGAGAAAAACGCTGGTGTATCTTACAATTTAAATCTTAAGAATGCTGCAGAAGCACAGAATTGAATGTCAGCATGCCGATCACCGGATAATTTCCCCGGTCATAACAGCCAAGGAAAGGTGACAGAAGGCGGCAATAACGCGCATATGTGTTGCGCAGAATATCCAAGTAAAACGGACTCCATCTCGGCAAATTTTGTTGCTGGTAGTGCCAAATATTGTCAGAGCATATTTTTTGCCCTTCCGGGACCCAAAATGCAATAATGAATCAAAGAAAATAATTTCGAAAAATACGAGATTTACAACAAATGCTTACCGGCCGTTGAAAACATCACCGATCGCAACTGGATGATAGCCACCCTTGCGATAATCCTTTGGATCTTCCTGTTCTTCGTCGTCGCTTCCCAGCACTTCTTCCTAAAAATTATCACAGAGACAGTCCTGACCAAAACCGATCTGTTCCGCCAAAATTCTTCAGTCTACCGGGCAAGAAATTTTAACCACTAATGTCAACACGACGAACAGCTTAAAAACAGTGGTTAAACGTTCCGGAAGCGTGCATTTTTCCAGGAGCATCTTGCCTCTGCTATCGTATCGCGCTATTTTTCGCATTCTGCTTAACGAAGAAAAAGTAACTGCTAAAAGTGTCGAAGTAACTGCCTCTGGCTAATTGGTAACGAACAAGCTACTACTCCTTTCCGCTCTCCCGTCCGTCCTAACAGAGCCATATTTATGAAGATGGTCAAGAAAATGCAGAAGGCCTGGAAATTTTTCAATTTCTACATAAATCCTTACTTATAGCACAGAACAAACCTGTTCATTCTCCATTTCATCATCACCATAAGCGCTTTCGCTTCCGGCACTCGGAGAAATCGGCGCGGCGCCATTGTACAAATGGTTCCTTTTCCTTTGCTCAAACATCAATTTAGCGTCCGGAGCTGGAGGAACGAAAACGGTCTGGCCGATACAGACATTTCCCCTAACCACATTCTAAAAAATTTATAAAATTTTTAAACAAATATTAAGTCCACCGATTCGTCATCTTGCTCAGCAACGGTTAAAAAAGAAAATGTTTGCCTAAGAAAGCTTAAAAAATCTTAGTGCTTCCGTTACAACATGCCAAAATTGGTGCAATATGCGGCCGCTCATGCTACGCAACCACTTCAAGTGAAAAAAATGCTAGAAAAACTGAACCGACGCAAAAGTCTTAAGCGAAAAGAAGCTAGCGTAAAGAGTGCTCGAAAAATCCTCAAAAGTGAAAAAAAAAAATCTCCGAAGGCCTTTTCTACATGTTTTTTTTGTAACTGTGCACTAATTTACTGGATAAAAAAAAAAGTCACCAAAGCGCGTTTTCGCCAGTGATCGGTATTAAACTAAAAAAAAATGCCATGATTATTATACACTAAATTATAAAACGTATTTTTTTCAGGAAATTTCAACTAAAAAGACCATGTTGTCATAAACGTTTAGGCACTACATTCAAACACATGACATTCAAGTGAAATCCTTCTATTCTTCTATTTCCCGAGCTGAATACAAACTGATTCTATCACACCTCAGTGTGGTCAGTGGGGGGAAAAGCCAGTCCCGCTACGAATCACTGATTCGTTCTGTTGAAACACTGCACTGATTGCATGCTAAACAGTCAAAATCATAATCACCCGTGATTCTGTGTAATCCAGGTGGGAGATCTATCGACAGATCTGCCAAAACGGGGTTTACTGCTAGCAGTGTGTTTCCATATGCGCTAATTCTGGATGGCTTTGTCTTTCATGAAATGTAAGTGAAAAATGAAGACTTCCGTAGTTCATTCTCAACAAAAGAAAAAAAAACACACTCTCTCAAGTAGTTTGAGAGGTAACAAACTGCCGAAAGGAACATGTTGGCGGCCATCATTTACAAATGGATGGAAAAACTATGGCTCTTTCTTTCGAGGAATGCTTAGAGTGAAATTAATGGCGAACTTGATCTCCTACCATGCGCCAGTACGTATTTATTGCCAAAACGAAGTGAACGAATCACAGAGCGATTGGCTACCTTCGTAGTAGAACAGAACCATGAACTTTCTACAGCAGCTAGGGCAGCACTACTCGCTACTACGCCATACTTGCTAGCTTTCGTATGGGGGGAAGATGCGCAACTTCAGAATCAACAAGAAAAATGAAATGAAAGCATACGTATGCATCAAGGGGCGGATAAGTATTGGGGTGACAATCATCCTGTTGTGGCAGAACTCCATTGCCAAGCAATTTCGCAAGGGTCGTCGGCGCCTTAGCAGTTGCCGCCTGCTCCGACTCATTGCCATTTTTGGAAGATTCCATTGGAATACCGCCACCACTACCGCCACCGCCATCGACGGTATTCGATTTCTTTAATTTTGCTGCTTCCCCATTTTTGCCATTGCTTGTCGTCGCTGTTGTCACTGCCGTTTTGCTTTCTTTTTCACTACTGAAACATGAAAGAACCAATTAGCCGGCTGCTGTACAAATTAGATGGTATATTTGTCACCCCAATGTACTAAAGCAAAGATGAGAAATAACAGATGGATAACAAAGCGGGTCACTGCCAACGAGACTTTAATCAAAGATCGGGGAAGAGGCTAGTGAGACCGAACTGAACATATATATATACATAGACTTGTAGCGATATGGTGATCTCAGAAAACAGCGCCACCTGCCTTCGGAAGGCGATGAGCAGTAAGATGAAATAATGGCTCTTCAAAGAAAT